GGTGTGTTATTAAAGGGCTGGGTTGGTGGGGGAGGTTGTTGGGGTGGTTCATGAAGGAGTCTAGAAAAGGCTTTCCATCCCTTCCTGTCTTCACCGATGGGAATCAAAACTTTGGTAAGACCACCATTTATGTCCAGTTTATCAATATCTGCAAGATAGCCTTTTCTGTTACTCGACTTTTCAACCCAAATGGTTTGGTCGTCTATATGTGTCTCCTTGAAGAACTTCTGGTTAAGAGGGGAAGATATGAGGGTAGAGAAGACAGTCTTAAGCCAAGCTATGGAAGACYAGTGGAGGGAGATGTAGAAAGCTCGGTCTTTGTTGGCTTCTRTGATGCGGACTCTACTTCCTCGATATCTATGATCAGTGTTGATGGAAAAACGCTTTCTTTCGATGGTGATGGAGGTGGGGCGGGGATGGGGAGGGTGAGCCATGAGGAGAGCGAGGGTAGTCTACTGTGGAAGGCATGGGTAAGCTACCGGAGAGGCTCCGACGACGGGGAGAGGAAGTGGAGAGAGCATCTTTTCTTAACTTCTGAATGGTTAAATTCATTTTCCACATAAACCTTTTTACTTAAGAAACTTAATGATCTCATGGTAAGAAACAAAAGAGTTAGAAGAGGATATCATACACGAAATATTGTAGACATTTCTGCTGTAACTGATTCCACATTTGATTCAGAGAGCCTGTTTAAAAGACCTGAGCAAATTCACAGTGCAGATTAAATTTCAAATTAAAAGGAAATAAAAATGGCAAACATTGAACCCATAATAGTACAACCTCCACACCTCGAACGCGCCTACGGAGTTGAGTATGATCTTCAGACTCATCCCCCTTTTGTAATCTCAGGTAAGGAGCAACATATTTTTGGTTTCCTTCCGAAGCTTTGACAGGAACTTTATCTACTGCAACCTCTGTGGAATCATCACCAGCAATCTCACCTATAACTATATCATCTTGGTGTTGTTCTGACATCTTTTTCTTCCTACGTCTCTTACTTTTGGGCGCCTTTGAAGATTTTTCTACCTCAATATCAGCCTCGCTTGCTCCCACGGGCGCAAAATCACCAGTAGTTAACTCACTCTCACCATCTGGGCCTTCATCTGATGACTTCCTTTTCTTCCCCATTTGACCCAGTGTTTTCTTCTTAGATGGCTCAACTGCAAACTCTTCAGAGAACCGCAATTCTTCCTCGGGAGAATCAATCATTGAAGACATTCCTTCAAATAACACATTAATACCGTCGTCTTCACCTCGCAACTTTCCAGCCTTGACCTTCAGTTTCTTTGCGAGTTTCCGTTCCAATTCCAAGTCCTCCTCAGCAGACAATCCAAGGTTCCGCATGCACGTCTCCATACCCAAATACTCTTCGAACTTTGTCTTCCCCTTATGCTTGGTCCGAGATCGAAGCTTCGCATCCTCCTTCCCCATCCAAGCCTCCCTTTGCTTTCCCCTACAAGTGAACATCCATTACAATTTTCGCGATTCTTTACTAAACTCAATGTTTTGTTGATTTTGAAATTTGAAAATTCCAATAAAATGAGTTCAGAAGAGTACCTGAGAGCGAGAGTGGAAGAAGATGCAAAGGAATGCGGCCGGCCCTACAAGGGAGCTAGTGGGCGATGGAGGGAGTGGCTGAACGCGAGGCAGAAGGAGCGCGGCAGTAAGGAAGAGTGGAGAGGGAGAAGACGAGGAGTGAATTTTGAAGGCTAAATCGATTTTAAAGCATTAAACCGTGAAGGAAAAAAGAAAGGGAAAAAAGGAAAAGTAGAAAATTATTCAAACTATTTAAATCATTCGAATTTCAAAGACTAAATCGATATTATTTCCTGGCATCCATTATAATCATTAAAATTAATCAAAATTAACTTCCAACAATTAATTGAAATGATTAGTTTATTTATTTTTATTAAGTCAAATTATTAAAATAATTTTAAACAATTAGATTTTAAGTTAATTTTCATTGATGAGTAGATTTATTGGAGGAATACACGGGTTGGGTGTCTAGGAGGTTTTTTTAGACCAACTCTACCAAATGGAGTGGGCAACCCAACCCAACACTAGTTACGATCCAACCATGTTCCCAATCAAACCAGGAGTTCACAAATCAAAACCAATTACGGACTCGAACCACTAACATCCGCCACAAGGTAAACCACCGCCTCTCATGCCTCTTTTTAGTAGGTTCTTTAGTCTTCGCTCTCAAGAACTAGTACGCCCTGTTCTCGAAAGCGGAAGAGCAGCTAAACTAAGCAACTTGTTGGGAGATTAGGCGGCAGTTGAAAGAGCTACTCGAAAACCCCTTGTTTTTTAGGAACTCGCCCTTGTTTGAAAGGGATAAGAGCGGATTGCTAGCGATGAATTGGTGAAGGGAATCTATGAGAGAAGGTTCTCTCGAACTAAGAAATCGCAACCAATTATCAAATCATCAAATCGGCAACAAATTGAAATCAAATCAGAAAGTTCATGCATTGAACACAAACAACAGCAGCACAAACGACCCTTAACCATTTGTACCCGAGGCCTCAACATTCTCTTATCCAATATTGGCACATTGACCCTCGATCATTTGTACATGAAGCCTCGATAGCCAATAGTGAGGTATAAATCTCACCATTTGCACCTAATGCTATGATACTCACTCATTCACTTTCTATAACATTCTAGAACTCACAACAAAGTCCTATAACATGCTTTCTAAGTCATTATATCATAATCATTTAACTCACAACCCTTCCAACATGCTACCTATGCCAAACATATATGGCTTGCAACATTTCATAATGCTTCAACAACAATACCAGTATACTTCTGCTAAACAAATTTAATATTCATACATCATACTTTCAAAAGTTCATTCCAAAAAACAAACCACGCCAACACCATAATACTTTAAACATAACCAATCACAACATTGCAACAATTAACCCAACTTCTTTAAATACATCATATCAACATTTCCAATTTCTATATCCAACATATACATTGTAATTCCCACCACATCCATGTCTAGAATCAATACTGATAAATATTCGGGAAACAAGATTCAACAATAAGAACACATAAAATAACAAGCAAACAACCAAGATTTCACACCAGACATACAACAAACATCCCAAGTAAGGTCTACTTACAAAGGGTTCGCGCTCCTAAACTATATTAAACCAATAACTAAAACAAAACAGATAACGCTCAATGCTAGAATCCAATACGAATATTTAATTGAAACGGAACAAAAGTTTGAACGCTCTATTACCTATTCAACCTTATTGTGCAAAGGGGCCTGACACTGCCCTAATAGGAATGGGCAACACAATTTGGGTTCAATTGAGCGTGGATCAGCACCGAACGTCGTAGGAATGCTGCTGTTTATGAATTGCTAAAGGAAAAATCGCCTGCGACTCGAGAGCCTGGGCGCTGGAGTTGCAGATTTGGGCTGGGTCACACGTGTGTGCTGCGGATCTTAGTTCGCCGGAGGAATCCTTGTGCGTCGCTCGTCGTTAGACTAGTCTGTCGAGCTTGGTCATGAGCTACAGATCTGGTAAAGACGTCGTCGGAAAGAGGGTTTTTAGGTCGTCGCTCCGCCGTTAGGATGCTGTCTCAAGGGAGGTCGCGTCGTGGATCGTGGGCAAGTTGTCGACGTTTATCGTCTGAAGGCTGCACCGTCGGCGTGGCTTGCTGCTCGAGTCCTCGGCTGCCACATGTGAAGAAGGAACTTGCTGTTCACAGTTCGTGCACTACCACTATTGCTGGGTGCCGCCGGAGGGAAGCTTTCGCCGAAGAGGAAGACTACGGGGAATTGGGATTTCTGACCCAATTTTATAATCTATTTGGATTTTTGACCCACCCCTAGAAAAACCTAATTTGTGACTCATTCCTTTCTAATTTGTGATACTTTCCTACTTTTTGTCTTTGTAAAATTATCAAAATATCCCTATTTTTTAAAAATAGAATTCTCCACCAATCTTTCACCTTAAACCTCACAATTTCCTTTTAATTTGAATCTAATATAGAAAGATATCAACATTTTAATTTAAAAATCAGTTCCCATTAAAAACCAACAACCGAATTCACAAAACATTATCCCATAAGTAAACATAATCCACATAAATTAAAATTAGTTTTTATTTTTTTCCTTGTTTCTCTCACCTTTGTCTCCCCATCTCCCCCTTGTTAAAAAATTTCTTTAAGGTTTTCAAATTTTATAATTGAAGAAGAAAGAAAATAAGACCCATAAATTGTTCTTCGTTATCCATTAAAAGAAATACATATTGAACGTATCCAGTTTTTTTTTTTAATCAAAATCCATCTCATCAGCTTCCCAAAATCATCCCTTATTCTCTCATTTTTAGGAGGGAAGACAGGTTTTAACTTTATGAGAAATAAGGAAGAAAAAAGAAGAAAAAAAAAGTGGAAAGCGTTTATCCCGGCCGAGATAGAACCATCCTGGATTGGGATTGCATACCCAAACCGGGATGGTATTAAAAAATACAATCTCGGTCCGAGTATGCAATCCCGGGTTGAGATCCACGGAGTTTTTTTCCTTCCTTCCATATTCCTCGCCTCTTGGCCATCTTTTTGTCAATTAAATATCAGGCATTAAATGTAATATTAGTCCAATATTTATGGAATCTTGAATTTTCTTCTAATTAAATCTGGACAAATCTTGTAATGTAATTATGTAAATTCGATTTTCCATATTAACCGATTAAAATTGTAATATTTCATTATGTAATTTCAACTTTTTTTAAATATATTTTTTCCATATTAAATTCATAATTAATTATTCGAGTTAGATTTTTTCCATTTGTAATTGATTTTTCAAGTTTAAAATTTTGATTTTTAGGTTTGTAAATGATTATTGTGAGGTTCATCGCGAGACATGGGTGGAGGGAATAAAAATTTTGAAGAAATTTACTTTTCTGAATAATGAGGATATTTTAATAATTTTACAAAGTAAAAAAATGAAAATAGGTCAAAAATTAGAAGAGAGGGGTCATGAACAAAAGATTTTAGAAAGGGGGTCAAAAGTCCAAATTGAATTAAGAGAAGGGACAAAAATCTCAATTTCCCAAGACTAAGGTAGGTGGCAGCTTGAAAGCGAGGCCAAGTGAAGTTGAGTTTCAAAAGTGAAATAGAGATGATGTCAAAAATGGGTTTTATGACCTCATAAATAAGGGGAAAATTCTAAATCTTTTTAAGAAAAGAAAACCAAATAAACTCTTTAGGGGTGTTTGGCCCGTGAGGTTGGCTTGGGCCAGGTTTGGCATCTTGAGCCAACCCCACGTTTGGCCCAATGGGTAGAGAAGCCAATGAATAAATTTTGGTAGAACAGTAATCTACCCCAAACACTATGCTACGCTTTCTATTAGTTTGCAACATTTTCGCATGTTTCGTCTTCCTCTCTTTCTCGTCTTCTTCGTCTGCTTTATCACATTCTTCGTCTGTCTTCTCGCCTTCTTCATATGGATTAGGGTTTCAAGCTTTGCTATTATTTCTCTCACCTTCCTCTTACGAATTTCTTCTGAATCTTATTACTAATTTCTCGCATTCTTCCTCATGCAAAATCAATGTTCAGAAACTCTAATTGAAATCTCTGACAGCCTCTTCGTTCTGACCATTTACGCCGCGTGATTTCAATTTTCTTCCTCATCTCCCCTAACTCGATAACTACGATTTTGGTGTTGTATTTCTTCATATCTATGATTTTAGTTTTCTATTTCTTTAGATTTATGATTTTGGTTTCGTTTTCCTTCAGATCTACTATCTTTGTGTTCTCAATCTCTTCATTTATTTCCCTCTTTTGCACCATTCTTTTTCATACCTACCCCGTAGAAACCTTAATCTCAACCTCAATCCCTTACTGCTCCAATTAACCCAACATTTCATCTCTTGCTGCCTCCAATTACCCCAAGAACAAAACATGATTCTCCTTAGATGGAGGCTTGTTAGGACGATTGATGAGGTTGTTGGAGCTTGGTAGGGGGAGGGTCTTCAAACAGGTTTGTTTTCTATCATTTACGGCTGATGATGAGGAACCTATTCTAAAATTTTTGTATGCTATTGTATCATGTATAATTTTTATGTTTCCTTCCTCTAATTGCTTGTCTCTCCTTTTTTCCGATTGATGTCAATTATTAATCTCTTTTGAAATTGAATTTGGAAATTTCTATGGCTGTAGTTTGAAATTTCATTTGGTTCTCAACTTCCTTCCAAGACTAATTTGGAACTAGGTTTTCCATTGATGCCCTCTGTTTCTTTTGTTACGATTACTTCTAATTCTCTGAGTGCATAGATGATTAGATGTCTGTGATTCACCTCGTGGGCATTGCTATATTCTTTTTACCTTTGGTTTGAGATGGATATGGTATAGGGTAATTGAGTAGAACTTCTTTATTTGCTCTCTCCTCATTTCCTGATACGAATCCATTTGTGACCAATTACATATATCAAAGGAGCAATTATTACAAGAAAGGCAAGGAAGATTCAAGAGG